ATCTGTTTTTCTGCTTTCTGCCATAGTTGTAGGAAAGTCCTATCTGAGCGATAAATTTATGATTGAGATAAATTTTTTTTTCTCTTTTCTGTCATAGTTATAGGGAAGTCCTGTCTGAGTGATAAATTTATGATTCAGATAAGTTTTCTTTCTGTTTTTCTGCTTTTCTGCCGTAGTTATAGGAAAGTCCTATCTCATTTTTAACTTTATAATTGAAATAAATTTTGTTTTTGTCACGCACAAGTGTTGGCGTGATTTTTGTTGTCATTTTTATTTTGGAATTCATCTTGAGCACATAGAAGGTCATTTACATTATAATTCGAATCAGGGAACTCACGTTAAAAATGTGGAAAATTTATCTAACTTTAATCCGTCTTCGTCTGTTTTCAGGATCAGTTCAAGGGGATCGAAGTGAACAGAAGTTAAAGAGGAAGGACAGTAGTAACCTGACAAGTCAAAAATTTCATGTCGAACATGGTCCATGTTTTGTTTGTGTGCGTTATTGTACAAAATGCTCTTGTTCATGGCAGCAGCTATGCTGAAACACATCACTATTCGGGTATGTACGATGACATGCAGCACTTCTATCGACAGCCGAAATTCTACTTTCGGCGTCGGACCAATTATTACCCCTCAATGTTTAATTTTGTACGAAATTGGTTGTTTCTTAATGAAACCGATACATTGCCAATATGGAGTTGTGGTAAAAGTCCAGTAGCCAATGGCGTTGCGCGTATTATTGGTGGCCAGAACGCAGTTCGTAATTCATATCCGTGGATGGTTTTATTAGAAACAGAGTTTTCCACTGATTTGTACAAATGTGGGGGAGTACTTCTTAGCCAGCTTCATGTTCTTACTGCTGCTCATTGTATGATCGATGATGGAAATCCACAGAATGTAACTGTATTTGCTGGTATTCATCATCGTGATGATAGCAAGTATAGAGTACCTGCCAGGACTATTACGATTCATCCCTGGTACGACAAAAATACATTTGCCAATGACATCGCCATTGTAACACTTCGCTCTGCATTGCCTTCGAACGATTCACGCATCGGCACGATTTGTTTATCGTCTGATAATCCTCTGCTACCGAATCGGGATGCAGTTGCAATCGGCTGGGGATGTACTACCTATGATGGTGACTCACCAGAAATACTCAAAGAAGTTACTTTGAGGATACTTGATGCAAGCATACAGGAATGCAGACAAGAGAAGTTGTTTCCAGCAAGAAAGATCTGTGCAGGAGAACTTGGATGTGGTCGTGATACATGCCAAGGCGACTCAGGTTGACTGATTGATAATCGATTTGATCGGAATTACTTTCGATTTTCTTCTTCTACTTCTCATTTTAGGTGGACCACTCATGATTCGAAATGCTGATGGCCGTTGGGAAGTAATTGGCATCACCTCATACGGTAATATAGGGTAAGTTGATGTTCATAAACGCAACATGTCGTTTGAGGAATAGATGCCAGTAGCGCAAAGCTAAAACGGAAATACTGAATGCCATACAAGAAGTTGAAAGACAAACGTTGTTAGCCTTTTACTTGTGCTAATTGTAGAATACGCAATCGACATGAGGTACTAATGTATGATCCTGTTTCCATCGTCAAGCGTTACCTATGATTCAAACGCTTTTTTTGTGATTAAACAAATAGTGAAAACCATTATATTCGTAGTTGGCTCTATACAGTCTTTTAGATTCTACAAACATATTCACACTTCTTGTGAGCTTTAACATAGTAGTCTAGATTCAGACAAAAGGAATGAGATGTATGTTCGAATAGAAAATAATAAGTAAAATCATATGAAGAATTTCAGGACAGACTTGTCGTTGTTATTTTCGAGTTAGTAAACAGATATGAATCATCAGATTTGATGTTCCCGTCTGGTGAATTGGTTTGGAAACAGATTTGATGAATTCAAACATCTTTAAAAAGACACTTCTGGTCATGTGCACCTTGTTTTGTTGCCTTGTATATTCGTGAACCTTCTGCCCTTGATAAAATAGAAGTGAAAAAAAGCTTTCACATTAGAAAACATTTTATTGGTACTTGAGCATTGATCCGACCGTACATTAAAGAAATTTTTCTACCACAAAGGAGTAAGGATTTGACGAAAAATCGAAGCTGAATGCGGACTATAAGACAGAAAGGAAAGGTAATATCTCGAGCACTCGTATGAAATGCATTGAGTTTGACCGTTCACTGAGCAAATAAAGAATGTGTAAAAAAATTCGATATTATTCTCAGTCTCTCTAGTGGTAAACTTGATGCGCCTGGAATATATACTCGTGTGAGCTTTTACAACGGCTTTATTCGATCGACAATAGCTCACTCCAACCACGATCCAAGATTTCTATCATCTGCGGTCTCATCATCTACCACGTTTACATGCACTCCATCTGCACTGAACATTCGTAACGGCATTTTCGTAATAATCTATTATTTTGTTTGTAAACTAGCTAATCAAGAAAGACTTTGATATCCATATTACTTGATTATTTATGCCATTGATAAGTATTTTGTCAAATAAATTCGCTTAATTAAATCCAAGTTGTGACCCTTTGTTTCTGTGAAGATTTGCACGCAGTTCAATAGTTTTAAGTGACAAGGGCAAATCCCTAACTGTCAAATCACTTTTCGATCGAGTATATGCTAAACAATAAATCTCAATGAGCTATTAAATACCCTACAAGGGTTTGGTTTTTCATGCCTTCTGAGCACACATGTACGATTATTCATATTACTAGTTTTGCTGTACTACTATACTCATATATACTAAACCTTGACTAAACCTGCTCCGATCAGGCTCAAATTTATATCAATAGTAAGGGACTCAGTACTGATTAAGACCACAGATTTTGAAGATAAATTATTGTTTCTTATCGAAGTTATAAATCTGTTTCGCCTACCAATTATTTATTAAAAAATAGCGTATGCTCTTGATGGTGTCGGATGTGGGTGTGGGTGGCGGGTGTAAATGTAGATAAGTGTGTTCATCAGGAGAAGACACCTACATCCACATCCACTCATAAGAATTTTCACTTCAGATTAGTAAAATGATCATAATGTTGTAATACATTAGGTATTTCGAAGTATTTTTGTTTTTCAAGATGATAGCTCTTTTCCTCCTCTGCAAAATGACGTAATTCGATCAATAACGTCATATAGGTTTGTTGTAAATATTATCGATTTACTGAAAGAGTCGAAACTTTTGGAGCAGCCCTTCGTTTACCTGTTCTAATTTCATTTGAAAAACACCAAAATTTTTATTTTTCTTTGGTCTAGAATTATATAAAAACCATCGATGGCGATTGTAATCAGACCTGAGAAGGTTTTAATATGGTTTTGAAATTTGGAATATTGAATTGAGCATGTCTAGATGCGATTTTATCAGCCATCGCATCTCAACAAGAATTACTTTCGAACCACGCTTGACTACAAAAACTGTTTTATCTGATCGTGAACTGCGTTTAAACGCGTTCGACGGTTGCTATTTAGTTGAAAATGAAACGTGATTCATACGCGTTAAAGTAATTACAAGCATACAACAGCGAATAAATCTAATGTTGAAACGCGTTTCTGTCATAGAAAAAGAAGGCAACAACCTTTTCAGCCCATCTACGAGAGAAAATTTTACAATATAAATGCGGCGCATTTTATGCCAGCATGAGGCTGCCAAACATGCGTTATTTTGTCTTTCTTGCCAGTCAGACAAATTCGAAAAAATGCGTTTCTACGCGTAATAATGTGCGCTTTTAACGTTTCCGAAAGAAATTTTTTTTTCAGCTCGCATACCGAATCTAATGCCAATGAGTGCCTTAAAACGTTTTTTTTCTTGTGAAAAGAAAAATCATTTTTTGCCATTTTTTCAGTGTTAAAATAGACCCTTGTTTGCTCTAGGTTATATTCATATTTGTAACACGACAGTTTTGTTCTTTCTTGTGGGAAGGACGGAGGAAGAATATCAGAAACACACACCTTATATTTTTTTATCATAAGTATCCTATGATGCACACTTGTGTAACTTGCTAAACCAAAGACATGACTGATATTGTAATAGACATTGAATTGAGTAGTTTTTCGCCTCGTATCTCTACTTAACTAAAATATATTTTCTATTGTTTCACAATTATTTTTTTCTTCTATATCTCTATCTTCTTTATTACTCTTTTATGACGCCAGTCATCAAATCATTTGTTCCATTCTCTTTCTTTTATCATTTTTTTATGTATGATCTCTCTTTTTTTCGAGCCATAAATGAGTTTAATAAACATCATTGCCGAGGGTAGTGTTGAGTTAATACTTCAGTTTATTAATACAGCCAACTCTTTCAACATTAGCCCAATCAATCTTCTTGTCGCCAACTGAAAAAATATGCTACTAATTTTATAGAGTAAAAGTCCCATTATTTTAGCATGAAACAAACCCATTCCATGTCGTTTTATCATCTTTCAGTTGATCTTTTAGAAGCTAACATAATTCTACGATTTCAGCAATTTAACACGATATTTCTCTTGTTATTTTGTAATAACTGAATCATGCTTCGATTTGCGAGTAAAACAGTAGTACGTGCAGTTATACTTGGTGCTGCTGCTGCTGGTGGTGCTGTGGCGACTACCACTATGACAAAACCTAGCGCATCCAAATCTGCAGCAGAGCAAGCAGACTCAACCAATGTGACGAACAAAAATAACTAAGCCAATGTTGTTAAGCGCAGTTCCCGTAAACATTCTCTATGATATTATCGCTAGTGTATTTCCTATCGTAAAAACCGACGACAAATACATGACAACTTACTCTTTTTTCTAATAAATTTAGAGAACCAATTCGTTTTTTTCTTCAGGGTGTGGGTGTGTGAGTGTGGGTGTGGGTGTGGATGTGAGTGGGGTGTGGGTGTGATTGGGGTGTAGGTGTGTTTAAAGAAGACTGACACATGTACCCACACTCACACCCACATCCACCCACACCCACACCCACTCCTGAATGTGAGTGTGCAAAAGAAGAACACTCACACCCACACCCGCACCCAGATTCACACACCCACGCCCACACCCAGATCCACACACCCACGCCCATACCCACATCCAGACCCACACACCCACGACCACGCCCAGACCCACGCGCCCACGTCCACATGCACACCCATACGCCCCGACCTCCACACTCCCACATCCACCCAAACCGACACCCGTCCACCTGTACCCACACTCTTTCCTGGCAATCGAATCTGTTGCCAAATATAAAATGTACTAATCGAAGAAAACTCACATTGAATTGCTTTTTGTTCTAACGGTAAATTATGCTTGGAGAACGCTAACAGGTTCTCTTTCTCTTATCTACTGTTTGTTTTTATGGGTTTTATACCAGTAACGTTATTTTTTCTCAAAAAATATCACATTCTTTTTTCAAACAGGTAAGCCCTATAAATAGAAATAAAAATAGTCAACGCCACCTTCATTTTCGACTTAGTTTATTTTCTTGCAAGTACGTTACATAGAAAGAAAGACATATCGATGTTTTGATTACGATGGGTGTGGAGTGAGGTGTGGGTGTTGGTGTGGGGTGTGGGTGTTGGTGTGAGATGTGGGTGGGTGTGGGTGTGCGTGCGGATGTGGGTGTGGGGTGTGGGTGCGGGTGGGTGTGGGTGTGTGGGTGTGGGTGTGCATGAATGTGAGTGTGCAAAAGAAGAACACTCACACCCACACCCACATTCCTGGTTTGAAAGAACATGCCATTGTGGATCTCTTCTTCCCTCACAACTCACACCGAAATACACAGCCATCTGAACATCCACGAACCAACCTCAGAGAGCACACCCAGATCCTTTCATACTAGCATTACAACACTGCCTCAAGACTCCTATGCAGTAATATCTCACGTACTGAACGCTTCGCTGTTAGCATGAAAGTACTGATACAATAGTTTTTCTAAAGCAATATCGAAAGAAAGTAGGTTGGATTTCCTTTGGTATGATGTATAACAATATCAATTCTACCATTAGATGAGTATCCAGACATTAAGGTACTCTCTGAAATTAAAAGATGCTTGAGAATATGAAAAAATGAAAACTTACATTTAATGGGTGAAAAAAAGTATTTGACAGCATAAGAAACGTCATACCGACTGAAAATATTTTCACTATTTATTTTGCTAATATCATATTTCTCGCCGTTCTTGACTTGTTTTTGAAAAATTTAATCCAGCACTGAATTAATAAGTATTCAATAATTAGTACATACATCAAGTATATATAGTTTTATTATTCCCTGTTTTACATAAGTGCTTAACCTATGTATAAATTGTTAAAACACTAAATGGAAAAAAAGACTTATCTACTTGTCGAATAGTAAACAATATGCTAGTCTATTTTAGATCTTCTTGAAACGTTTATTATTTCTGAACGTTTTGTGTATTGGAGTCGTCGAAAAGACAAGCCTTTTCCAATGAGAAACAAAATTCTTAAACAATGAAAGATTCAACAGCGTTTGAAAGCTCACTGGATCAGAACATGGATATTGATCTTATTTTGTCAACTCGATTGGAAGAGTTACAACAGAAGTTTCCTAAATGTTTTCCAAAATCAATTTATGTACTTAAAGATGCTCATGACAATGTGCCGAATGAATGGAAAGAACGCTTGATTGAAGCAAGAGGAAAAGGCAATGGACAACGTATTATATTGATTCCTTATAATATGGCAAGTTTCCATTGGGCTGGAATCTTGTTAAAATTTAAAACAGATCAAGAGATTGAATTGGCCCAATTGATGGATCCAGTGGAATATTCTGACTTTTTTCCCGAAAGATTAGGAAACGAATTCGCTGAAATTTACTCAGATGCTATGTTGCGTTGGACTTATGTTGAAAAACATCGCGATCCAAGACAAAGTGCAAATATGACTATTGAAAATTTATTAAAAGCCGCTGAAGAAGTTCAACTTACAGATGAAAAAGATACAGGTATGAGACATTCATATGGTCGAACATTCGATGATCGTAATGCAAGTAGCGTTTTGATCGAAGAAGACGTAAATTTTTTAACACCAACTACATCAGTAACACAAGAGAATCTAAGAAACATGTATAATGACTTTTGCTCGATGCCACCTTGTTCAGAAAGATCCATCAACAATTTACTATATTTATTGTCGTTGAAGTTAGCCGGTCGTGTGGTAGAAGTCGATGATAGCATGGTAATACCCAGTCAGATAGAAACAGAGATAGCACAGCAGCTTACATATTTAAAGGAGCGATTAAAAATAGAAGAATTACAGTCCATAGAAGTTCAAAATTTAGTAGATACATGTTCAATCAAATTGAAAGATAAAAATTGGCAAGTTGCTCTGACATCAATGAAAATATTATTCAAACGGATTAGTCCGTTAAATATGCAGGAATTATTTAGGTTCACTGAGAAAGTTGATGATGCAGCACATTTAATAAAAGACAAAAATATTATTCTTTTCTTCAGAGAAGCTGGGGCAGGTAAATCAACTATTATACATTTTCTTGCTGGTTCTCAAATGAAATATGTAAAAGTGAACGGGTTGAATCATATTACTCCTATTAGTATAAAAAACCCTCATCTAAAAACAATAAAAACTTCACCGATTGCTCAATCTGAAACCCTATATTTTACTCCTGTTACAGTGAATATAAGAGATGTTGGTGGAGATACTGATGGTGCTATAACTCTATGTGATACCCTAGGATTCGCAAATACTATTGGAGCAGAAGTCGATATAGCTAATGCAATAGGTATTGCTAGAGCAGTTAAAGAATGTAAAAGTGTAAAACCAGTTGTATTAATTAGTTATAAGAGTATTGGTAATCAATTTCGCGATGTAAAAGAGCTGGCTAGTGTAATTGTTCGACTGATTCCAGAAATTAAAGATAATATTAAAGCTTTCTCCTTTATATTTACGAAATTTCCAGATGAAGAAAAAGGAACAATTCATCCATTATTAAGAGATATCTATGATGAATTGAGGGAAGAAGAAAAATCAAATGTTAGTTTCATGACTTTTTTAAAAGATATGTTACAGAAAACAAGAAGATCAGTACGAGTATTAGATCCAATCAATAATCAACCAGGAGAAATTCTTGATGAACTCGCAGAATCTGCTTCTATTTTTTATCCAGATGAAGTTTTTCAATTTTATATCATAGAAAGATCAAAAACTATTGTACAGGAGCAAGTAAGAAAACATCAATTAAGTATTATGTCAGCAACTAAACGTTCTGAATATTCCTTTGTACAATATAAACTTGCTCAATTGAAGTAATTAAATAATTTACTTGGACAAGATTATATTGGACAAATTTATGATGAGTGTGTTCGATATATAAGTAGACATCTCTCTGAAGAATATCAAAGCGGTATTTCAATATTAAATCGTTGTTTAAACAATCAAACAGTTTTAAGTATCGACGATATTGAACAATATCGAACATGTATTAATCATGATAAACTTGCAGATAAATTAAGGAATGATTATTTACGAAAGGAAGTTGTTCACAGTAGTGCATTGATTGTATATCTAGATCAACAAGTAGACATTATAATCAAATCTTTACTAGAAAAAGATATTGATGATTTATCAGTAAAAATTAGTTTAGATAAAATAAAAGTTCTTACTATGTATTTTTCAGATATCAATGTTAAATATAAAGATGCTTGTCAACGTTTTTCCGAAAAGTACGAGTTAGTAGTCAAATCTTACAAAACTTCACTGTTCGAAAAAAATTTTCCTAACATTGCTAGAGACATAACAAAATTATATGATGCATGTATTGTTTTAGAACAACATTTAAATCGTGAATATATGACAACAATATATTGTGAATTAAAAAGATATTTTCTTGAAGTATTCACAGATTCAGTTTCAAAACTAAATTATATACTTTCTCAAGAAAAATATGGAAATGAGACTATCGAAAGTTTAAAAGAATGTATACGTATGTTTGAAACAGCTATTAGTACACTGACTTTGCAATCCCATATTTCAAAAGAGGATATTAATCAAATTTATGAAGATTTTTTAATAAAAATTATGAATCATTATGAATGGATTAATGAAAAAATCATGACGGAACTTAGAGGTCAATGTTCATTTCGTGAAATAGAACAATTATTCAAAGAGATTACTTCCATCAGAACAATATCTGTTATTGAATCAAGAACTAATCAATCTTATTATAGTATATTAGAACAAATATGTGGATGTATAAGAGAATTAAGAAAAGAAATTGAAGAAGTATTAAATGGATTTTATCGAAATGAAAAAAATAATTATAGTGGTCTCATGAAATCTCTTTCAACTTTAAAACATGCAAAATGGATAGAAGAATATCGACTTGAAGTCTATGCAGATGTAATCAATAATATTAAGGAACAAATTCTTAAACATGTAAAAGATTTGGAAAAAACTGTTTTGCAAACAGTTTCAAATCTGGATAATTATGATCAAATCGAGCATATAGATAATATGCTATCAAGAATCAATGAACTGAGAGTTATTGAAGACATTGTTCCGAATATAGGACAACAGATAGAAAAAATTAATACTCGATATAGAAGTGAGATAGATAATGTATTTACTATTATTAAAAATACATTCGATTTAGAAAAGTGGAAGAAGCAACGGGATTCATTCTTGGACTTTAGTATAGCTGAAAAAGGGTTTCGTTATTTGAATATTTGTAGAAGAAGAGATATCTTGTTTAAAAATGACTGTACTCTTGTTATCAATCAATTGAAAGAGTTCATAAAAGAGTTTAGTAATGCTGTTCAAAATGAAGTGATACAATGTTTTACAGGTATTAAACAATATGAAAATGGGAATATACATGAGATATATGATAAGACTTCAAAACTATTAAGTCTCTTAAAAGAAGTTTCTGAAATGAAAGATAAATACACTCAAGTTTTTTCCTGTTTTCAAAATCAAAGAATCATTGAAGAATGGGAAAGTATATTAAATAGTTATTCTATTGAGCTATTACGTGAAATGCCAGATCTGTATACTACACGAAATATGAAGGCATTAAAGGATAAACTATTGATTGCAAAAGTATTAAGTACATTGGATCAATTTTTGAAGGATAAAAAGTACAATGATATCTATTCTACATATCAGCAAACATATTGTGAGACAATCAATGAATATGTTAGAGAAGTGACAATTTTTATTAAAGAATTCGAATATGGGCTAGTTGCTCGTGGAATGATGAATCTAGCGATCGTTCGAAAATCACATCACCATGTGTTTGGTCATTTTGGACTCCATCACCTCTGGTGATTGAAATTCATATTTTAGAATTCCTTTTTCCTCTGATAATGTCAAGATTTTTTTTCAAATCAGTATTTTGTTTAAAAATGATCATATTCATTAATTGTGTGTAATTTAATGGTTTATTTTTGATTGGTTTCAACAATCAAATATTTCACCATAAAAAAAGTGAAGTCAATTATTTGAAATATTTTCTTTAAGATGCGACAAATATGAAGATGAGATTCTGTAATCGCTCGTAAATTTTACTTTCGTTTATCTTGCTAGGCTTTTGTACATAGACATCATTTTGAAGATGGTTAAAATTGATTTGTTTGTTTAATTTCTTTTTTTCTTTTTGAGCTGTTTGTACAACTGTTTTTTTATTTTCAATCGTTAATAAACATGTTTGTTTAAGTTGAACTGAATGTGTTGTCATACTTATTAGATGAGCGAGGATACATCGATTTTTCCGGGGTATTTTGAACTAACATCCCTTGCAATAGTTAAATTATTTTTCATATCGAAAGAAATGTCAGTATTTCTTTTTGAATAGTTTGTGAGAAAAAAAGATGAAAATATCTAGGATTTTTCGCTATTCAAGCAAGTACACATTCGGAATCATCGAAGTAAGTCGAAATCTGATTAGTTAGCAATTGATCAAGCAGATAAGTTCTTCGTGAAGATCTCGAGAACAAAGTTCTACAATCATTTTCTATCATGTTTTGACGCCAATATAGTCAATTGGTTAAGAAGTTTCCTCTTTTGATTCACAAAAACTCCAATTTCATGGTTACTTTCATTCAAGAGTCACAAGGATTTCCCTAAGACTTCTGGTTTCAGAAAAATAGTCTTCAAAAACTTCACAAAAGTTTCAGATCGAGGCGATTCATTGTGCAGAGTTGAGTGATAGTGTTTGTTTTTAGTTTCAAAGCAGCCGGAGATCAGAAATCGAAATGAATAAGAAAAGCTCGATTAGATACAATTCATACTGAGAAAAAGACAAATCTATTCATTTTTATGAGTAAAATATGTTTGCATTCCGCATTAACTCTTACTGAAGTTTTCGCGTGCCTTTATGCGAAATCTATCGATTCAAAGACATTAAACAGCTTCAAAGTGGAGCTATAGTACATCTTAGGTCTTCGATTTTTGTAAAAAGAAATTCTTCTTCTCTTACCGATAGGCTAAGGTAGTATTACCTGAATTTTCATAATCCCCGCTTCCTATAGATATTATCTACATGGAGAAAGACACTTATATTAAGAAAAAGAATATACAATCTTCCGATTTAAATGAAACTTTATCTCAATTTTTAGTTCGGTGCTGCAGATTGGGGCCCTCAAAACTAGATTGAATCAATTCCCTAATCTTTCAATTAGATAACAACAATATTTGATTTTTTAGTCAAGCTCTTCTTTAAATGTCCTGCTGATGATCTAAACCAAAAGCAAACACTCACGATATCAATAATAGTACTCTATCCATATATTGGCCGAAAGCGTGTAAAATATTGGCAACTCTAAATACTAGACATAACTAGAAAGTTCTACTAGGTATTGAAAATTGTCAATAGAAGAAGTTTTTGAAACTAAAAAAATACTGAACTAATGGACTCAGATCATTTTGAAACTGGAAACAAACATTGTCTTTTGACTTTGCTTGACGAAGTATTTCTGTCTAAGGTTCAACGCGTTGTGCCCATCGAATTATATTAAAAAATAAATGATTATTCAATAATAATTTTAATTGATCATTTGCATTCAGAATTTTCTTCTCCTCAAAATGATCTATAATATTCGAGAGTGCATTGATATATAGCAGAGAAAAACTGTGACTTATTCATCGTAACTAGAACTGTTCATGATGAATGTACAGTATTCTTCTCTGTCGTTGAATATTACCTCGACTTTTATATATTATTTTGACAAGAAGAAAATTCAGAATACAAAGGATCAAATTAGAACGAGTTTTTTGTGTCTAACATGTAAATGATTATCGAACAATCGCCTTATCTTTAGTTCCGATGCAAAAGTCGCGCTTGACGCTAGTCAGAAACTCTTTTCGAGTTGAGATTTATGTACATCAAAAGAGAAGATTTTTCTCTGTCGATTCGCCATATTATGCGTGAAAATTAAAAAGAAAATAATGAAATCTCATATGCAACATTTCCATTAAGAACTTTCTTAATTGATTAATTTCTGCTTAATAAGAGTTCGACTTACTTCGATGATCCTGGATTTTCTCTCTTGAATAATGAAAAACCCAGCTTTGCTCATCATTCCTATTTCACTTTCTTCAGAGAACATCCACTGCTTTTATTTTCTGAAATGGACAATAGTTGCTGTTGTTTTTCTTCATTTTGTATCCATTCAGCATTCAGTAATTTATATGAATCCTAAAGATAATCGAATAGGTAAACTTTAACAAAGACATTTTGGATTGGTTACTTCTTTTTCCAAGATATTCTGATAGATTTCTTGCTGGTCTTGTTGTTTTTATTTGTTTTTACGCAATATTTTTTGTTTTTTATCTTGTGCTTAAATATGTAATGCAGAGCCCTGATGAGTGTTTTAATATTTCAGTAAAGAACATGAAACGCGTTGGCAAATTAAAATCTGCATTTCTTAAAATTAATTCTTTTGGCACAAGTCACAAATAATAAAAAAAATTTTAATTTTTCCAAATCTCGACAAAATAATCGATTGCTGAAAAGCAAACGTGGAGTGCAAGCAGATTGTATTTATCTTTTCTTCAAAATAGATAGGTCAGTCTGTTTTTCGATAAATTTCAACCAAGTATTGCATAATTTCGCTTCATGGTAAGTGTCAACAAATGAAATAGTGAAGATGTCTGCGAATTGCTTTCGATCATGAATGTTTATTATCATATAAATTCATGTCGAAGAGTGAATATGAACAAAATCATGACAAAAAAAAAGACAAGAATAAAGACTGAATATCAATCACGAAGAGAGAAAAAGATGGAAATGATCTTACAAAAAGAATCGTGAATGAAAACCAACAAAAAGAAAAACATAACAAAAGAAAAATTTGACGAATATGTTTTGAACTCATTTCGATGAACTAGCACAAACGTCTTCATATTTTCTCTTCAATTTGTTATCTTTTTCTGACACGGCTTTCTCGAGCTCTTCTACCTTTCGTTCTGCAAGTCGTGCATTCGTTCGTGCAGCTTGTGAAAGTTTCCATGCAGCTTGTGCTCGTTCCCGTGCCGCTTGTTCTTCATTTCGAAGAACATTTAATTCTAAACATTTGAAATGAAGTAAGACTTTTAGAAGATTCACTCTTTGTACAAAATGTTTACCATCATATTCTTGTTTTTTTGAAAATCCCGAATATTATTAACACCTGATTCAAGATGTAATTTTTGTTCTTTATTTGTATCAACATATAGCTTGCCAATCTGAATAGCCAGATCATCGTTCAAATTGGTGGGATTCGTAATAAACATTCTGTGATTTGAAAATGAAGAGGATTAATAACAATTCGACATTGTCCCGTTCCAGAAATTTGATCTCTTCCATATAAAATTATCATACGAGATGTGTTCGAAAATGAGTCTTAGTAGAAATAGTCATATAGTACTTGTTTCTGCGGTACATAGATCGATTGAAATAGTCAATGAACATTACATGTATATCAAACCTGACTGTTGATGATAATCAACTCGTTTTATCAATTTATTTCATGAACAACAAGGTTATTTTCATATGGTTAGATAGAATATTTCAATTGCTTCAAATGATATAAAAATATTGAGTAAAAAAAACTAATCATTCAAAGGAATTCTAAAGACACTATTGTCAAGACGTGATCTTTGAGTCTTTTTTATTTCTATCAAATTTCGACAATCATGTCTTCTTCAATGTTTTTATTCCATATTGAAGCGCTAGAAAAATTCTATCGAATCATATGAAAATAACCTCATATCTCATGATATAAGTAGATAAAAAGAGATGATTATTATCACCAGTCGAGTTCGATGTATATGAGTGAAGAGCACACCCATTGTACCGTTGTGTTCCGAAAAGAAAAATGCTTATAAGTCGAGATCCGTTCAATCGATTTTAATAATTTTTGTTTATTTTACTGGTCTAAGGATGATCATTCAATTCTGAAGAAATCAAGTTTCCACGTGTTTTAGTTTCCGAGAAATCATAGCAACAGTGTTAAATACCTAGCTTCTAATGCCACCTGTCAGAAGAAAACCAATTTTTTTTTATTCCATTGCTTTTTTTTTAAATTAATTTTGCAGCTAGAGTTGTAGCATTCATCAAGAGCTTTTAGAATATGCCTTTATTTTTAGCTTTAGAGAAAGTCTTATGAATGACAAACTGTCGCTAATGGGCGTTGAGACACTTTTTCATTTTTGCGTAGGGCGACATTAAAACCATTGGCGTTTCGTTTGGAGAAATTTTTTTTGTTGTAATTGGGTGTGGGTGTGGGTCTGAGTGTGGGTAGGATGTAGATGTGGAGGCAATATTACCACCCGCAGCCATACCCGCGCACACACCCACACCCACACCCCACACTCACACCCACACCCACACCCACACCCTTCTCCCTCGTTCTTTCGTTTTTTTTAATTCTGTCAACCCAGCGCTTTCTTGAGAAACAGTGCTGATGGCAACAGTAGAATACACAATATAGAGAGTAGACGAACAATGATGGCAAATAAAGAAAGAAAATATTTTTAAAAAGGAATCCATTTCAAATGGAGCACACGCATCGATACCAATTTCTGTGTGATGGAAGGTAGTTGACATTGTTCAAAAACAGGCAATGGCAAACAATGATAGGCTTCCCCGTAGTATCAACTAAGGAGATAAAACTTCAATGAGCATGAATTTAAGACAACTTTTTTGTAAGATGATATGGAAAATGATAGTTCTCAATATATTAATGATTCCTCGGATTACATAACGATTTTAGAAAATCTGACATATTCATCTTATTTCTCCAATACAAGAAAGAAAGAAAGAAACTGACGAAAGGTTTTGTTTAGTGTTTCATTGAACATGAATTTCGAAGAAGTCATTTATATATCACGAAAAGAGTATTTTGAGAGCGAGTGTGTGGTGGCAGGTATGAGTGTGGATGCGGATGATGTGTCTGTGGATGTGGACATGAATGAAGAGGAGACTCCTACTTGGA